CAGGAATGCACCGAGGACACAAGCTTGAGTTCTTATTCTGTGGACTGATATGTACACATATACTCAGACCCTTTTATTCATCTCTCTGCCTGTTTTGTTTCTATCTGCACACTCTGTACAGTATTGAGAACCTATAACAAAGGGATAGGGAAACGAGTAGATTGCTTTTGTGCTTTCAGTATCCAGAACCTGTGAAATAGATGTATTTTTAAACCAATGTTCTCTATATGGGGAATTCTCTTTTTTGCAAAGCATCTGCAGTCCATTTGTTCCTGTGTGTTACACTCCTGTGTCTTTTGGTTTTGGTTTGGTTTGAGGTTTTTTGGTTCTCCAGAAGCATTATTGCCTTCTCACAGCTAGATAGTAATCCTCTTGTTCCCAACAGGATCAGTAGGCTGGAATAGACTCAACATGGGTTAATGCTGCCCTAGTTAGCATAAAGCTGGAATTTTCTTGTAACACTCGCTTTGTGGCTGTCTTTCTATGTTTAGCCATGAGTCCTCCTGGTTTCTTTGGCTTGGTCTCCCTTTGATAGTGATTTGTTGCTTGCTTTGACGATTCTTCTGTAGAAAGAGAAAAGACTTCAAAGATTTGTCTTTCAGTCTTTAGGAGCAGAAAATCCTCTTACCATGACTATTCCAAGAGTAATGGCAGTAAGACGGATGGGGCCTGTAGATAGCAGTTTTGTGCTCTATAATAGTCTATGCTATCTAAAAGATGGAAAACTAACATTCAGTCTGTGTTTGTGCAAAAATTACTTCATTTAGTTTTATTAGCTGAACCTTTCTTTAATTCTCAAACTCTCCTGAACTGAACTGGCAGCTACGAAGTTATTGCAGGATAAATGTTTCAATTGAGTATTTTCTAATTCACTTAATTCTGATGTAATCTCCAAAACAAATTCATGCTAATTAATACTGTCCTTCTATAATCATGTAGACAGACAAGAAAAAAATGCAATTAGAAAAGGGAAGAGCATATTACTAAGTCTATTCCAGTATTCTCCATTTCAAATCACTCGGCTCTTGCCCGTTGTGGAGGTGAATTCTTTCCGCAGTAAACAATGCAGTCCAACACCAGGCCTGTTTTCCCTTCATCAAACATCACCTTAATGATGGCTGAGGTAATTTTGTATTGAATTGCTTACTTATGTGTTTTCTCTGTGACAGACAGTGTCCGATGCAGCAGGTCAGGACTCGTTTTCAGTGGTATGTCACTGACATGATGCAATGGGTCTCAGTCCCAATCAGTGTTGAGGAATAGCTCCCACTGCTTGAGGCTGACTGTGCCTATGCATGAATCAAGGGACAGTCTAGAACTTGTACTCCTAAGGAAAGTTTGCTTATTAAACATCATCTGATGATGATAAAATATAAATAGATTTTTTATTGTAGGTTCATATGCTTATCACAGTTTCTGAAACATTTTGTAAGAATGGAATTTGGGAGACAGTAGAAAGCCATGAAATTTGCATTAAACTGAAGTGGGATCTATCTGAGAAAATAATTATGCTTGGAGGAGAGGTTTTCCTTTGCAGGATGTTTCTGGAAAAGAAAGAAAAACAGAAGTAATGGTTAAGTAGAGCATCATATTACAGGCCCTCGTCTGTGATTGTCTAGAAATTGAATTAACCTCTCTCTTGTGAATATCATTTAAAATGTAATTTAGGAAAGGCTGCATAGAGGTTAGGACTCTGAAGGTCTAATAAGCAGAAATAGTAGCAGAGGTCCCCACACCGGGAGAAGGGAGGACTTGTGACAAGAAAGGGAAGGAGGGGAAGAGGGGGAAGAGAAATGTTAATTTTGGCAGTCAAGCTGACAGAATAGATTTGTCTCCAAGCCCAACAGTTGTAAAAGTAGGCCAAAGGGGTCTACTGAGTAAACAAATGGAAGTTTGTTAGTTCCTTCCAAAAATGATGCTTTCTACCTGCGCTGTCAGGCCACAACAGAAGACAGAAAAGGAACTTGCTAGTCTTTTAATTACATAAGACAATTACATATGTTTTTAATGCCACTGTCAACATTTTTTCACCTTCAGAAATAAAAGATCTGTTGTTCATAAACACAGAGGGCTTGCCCACAGTTCTGGGTGTTATTAATGGGAATTGTCTCAGGTGTAAATCTTCTAGGTTTCTTAACACTGCATTCTGAAATAGACATGAAATTTCAAGTTTTACAATCCAATATTCTCAAAAGAAAGTTTTGTAATGTATTTTTTATTTCTGGTAATTACATGTAGTTTACCAATTAAAAAAAGAGCAATAAAAGCGAGGCAGTTCATTTCTAAAGACTCCTTGCTTATTGTTATTATGTGGTATCCATCATCCTGTAGTGTTGCATGCTTTTCCTAAATAGGGTGTTTCTGTAACTCCCTGGGGTTACTTTGTTTTTGGGGAGCGGGGGAAAGTCATCTGATAAGGAGGGGAAAAAAGTTAAATTCTGAGCTATTACTGGAATATAACTGCAAAAATTGTCTCATAAACATGTACAAACTAAAGGGAAAATTCTCTAAATTTTTAATAGCACATTTTAAGTATTTAATTTAAAAAATACTGTCATCTTTTCATTTGAATTTACTCTCCATAAATTTCTGTTGTTATATTTATTTGTTTTTTTAAAAGTCCTTACTACAGTAGGAAATTAAAAGTGTATGGGGGGAAGAGAATGAAAGGTCACTTTTGAAGCTTGCTGTCAAGAATTACTCATTTTCTTTATCCTTTCCACCCAAGTTTTGCATTTTGAGGTGGCAGAGGAAGAAGGAAAAGCACAGATTAGGATTATGAGGTGAGAGGAAGGGAAGGAAGAGTGATAAAGATCAGACTGAGTTTGTGGAACTGGTGCTCAGAAAGACTTGGCAAAATTTGGTTTTAGGACATAGTGAAATATTGTCAATGGAAAGAAGGCTGCTCCCAAATATATTTCCTTTAGTGATTTACCAATCTACCATCTCTCACAAAAATGCATAGCAACCCACGTCAAAAAAGAATTATCCATTTTTCCTACTTACTGGGCTGCTACAGATATGGATGAATCAGGGAGTAGCCTCTGAGGATGGGTCTTGCTGATATGAGGGACTCAAACAGAAAAAAGATAGGACCTGATACATTCATGGACACAATGCAGTCTAAGAACATGGATTAGGTCTTCAGGCAGCCTACGCTGGATAATGCTTGATTGACTTGATGTAACCAAATAGGCTGTGCTTTTTCCTAGTAATAACTCCATTTTACCTGTACCCAAAATGAGCCCTTTTGTTGGGTCATCCGTTTTTGCTAGTGGAACATATAATATGTACATATATAAAAATCCAGGGCTAGAAAACCAGTTTATGTTCCTGATCTGAGGCAGGAGTACATATATTTACAGTTTATTTTTATGGAACCTGTACCATGGGATTACTTTAGGTTGACTGGCCATGATAGACAAAATCAATCATCCTGTGCGGAGAATCGATGAGTCTTGGGAAGAAGGGAGTAGCAAGTTAAATTGATATGGATTAGTTTGTGGTCAAAGAAAGCCAGTACATAAGATACGCAGAAAGCATTAATTCTACCAAAACAGGACAGGGAATAGTTTTAAATTGTAGGTGCGTACAATTTTCTTAGCATTCAGAAACGTCTCACTAGCTTTTAAACAATGCTTATTCCAGCAAGTTATTTCTTTGTGAATGCCATTAAACACTTCAAAGCACCATGTGCTGATTTCAGCAGCAATTTAGATTTTTGCAGCAGAATGTAATGTCTTCTTGTGTGCAATGAGCTTGAACCAGTCTTTATGTTCTTTTTGTCTTTGTCTTTCTAAATGTGTGTGGGCTGCAGATGGTTCTGTGAAGGAAAAGAACTCCAGAATTCCCCTGACATTCAGATCCATTCTGGAAGTGGAGGACTTCATTCACTAATAATAGCAGAAGCCTTTGAAGACGATACTGGCCGCTACACTTGTCTGGCTTCAAATTCCATTGGTTCAGATAGTACGTCAGCTGAAATATTCATTGAGGGTAAGAAGTTCAATAATTAGATACTTAATGAATACAGGAAAGGATAACTAAGCTTAAGTTTACTTTTCCCTCCCCATGTCTTAAGATTACATTTGCGTTGGTGGCATTTTTATGGTGTGCCTCTGCTTTCCCTTTCATGCAACACATTTTGAACATAACATCATATAATTCCTGTATTTCAAGGAATGTCCCAAGAATCAGTGGGTAGATTGCAATTTATTTAGGGTACAAGGAAGATAAAAAATGGAAAAGGAGGAACAAGAAGAGCTTGTGTCATATGATTAGCTTTTACATAGTATCCTCTGTAAATCAAAGAATTGACTGATGATACCAGTAATGATTTTCACGATAGCAGTAATCCCTGTCTCAGCTCTGAACTTCCTTCCAGTGCAATTAAATGTGGCTGCCTCAAATGAGTCGTCTTCAGTCATGGGTAAATGTCTTACAATTCTTCACATTCGGTACTCTGACTTTTAAGTCAGGTTAAAAGTCAGTCGTACTGATTTTGTCCAGAATCAACTGCTAGTAATTGTCAAAATATTTATTGACTTCAAAATTAGTTATAATTCAAGTATTATTTTCTCTGAGTATAGTTAATGACTTGACCACAAGTAAAATTAAATTATTTTTTTAGTAGAGGACTGTATTTTAGGCTTGATTATATTAATTGAATACTGATTTCTGTTTAAATTCATGCATCTGTCAAACATTTTGGTAATATGTATTCTTGTACCAAATTTGTAACTCATTAAAATTAATTTAAATTGTTAATTGAAAGCATAAAACAAATTAATGTAAGAAATACTCATAACAGATCTGAATAATACCATACCAAAATGTTTAAATAGCTTTTGATTAACAAAGCAATAAACTTTTTGCTATAAATTGGCTATGTCATGACAGATGTGCATTTATAGGGTTTCTTTCATGACATTTTTTCTTTTTATAATTTTTTTATCCCACATTGAGATATAATATGAAAATCCCCAAGACTTTTCTGAAGCTTATGGGTTCTAGTGAGGCTTTTCTTTGCAGGCATAAACATGATTTCAGAAATACTCAGGTATAGTACAAATATATAATACTGTGAGAAGTTGTATTAGCAGAAGCAATACTTTAAAAGAAACAGGTAGGTAGAGAGATACAGTGGGAAAAACAATTCCTTTTCTGAGATCTGCAAAGTCCTACCATGTGGAAGTGCTATCTTGCAGTTTTACAAGATGTAACTTTGAAAGAGTTGTACAAGGAATTGGGCTTCTCCCCTGTCATCTTGAAGGAAACCAGATTGTCACACAAGCGTTGCTTTGTACATTACTAGTCTTGATGATACCGATGCCTTATACTTTCTTCCGTGCAGCAGATCCAGTCACACAAGACCTGATTAACCTTTGTTCAAGAGAAATACTTTAATGTAGATCCACTTTTCTCACTTGATGTTACTTCTATTTCCTTACCTTTACTGTGAGACTTACAGCTTTGATTTTTGTAGTTGAAACTTTGTAAATAAACAAAGTATTCAGGTGCCTCAGCCCAAGCTTTGTTTCATTGGAATCAATCTATGCTATACTATGCATATCAGTTATGAAGTGCTTATGATTTGTATTACAAATACAGCTATGCATAAGTATGCACAAATCCTTTGAAGAATAGTATGCACTGCATAAATGTCTAGAATAAATGTTGTATGAAATGCCAGTTGCTAGGAAAAAATAAGACAAAGGGAATAAATGCTTTTGTATTTTTTTCTTTAAGTGAGTTCAGGGTATTGCCAAGCATATACATTGTATCAAGACTTCCGCTGGCAAGAAATACCAGTACATAAATGTTATATATAGGTTAATATAAATAGTCTGAACTGTGGAAATTATGGGTGGCAAGTTTAGTCTGAAAGTGTCTTGCTGTACTGAGCTGCTCTTACTTAAGGTTGAAGAATTTTTATCTGTGTATAAGCCATATGTTTGCTTAAGCTTTAAGTTTTAACATTCAAGTAAATAAAATTATACATTTCCATTAGAGTAGTAGTAAGCATTTTTTTTTCTTTTTTGCCCGTATTTGCTTCAATATGAAGTAAGACAGCTAAGAGCCTAGGGAAAGCAGTTTGCAATTAAATCAGCATGCTTATGTTTTCTGTAACTGTCTAAAGTACATAGTTACAGTCTTTTATCAGATAAGAAAAACTGCAGTAGTTTATTACAGAGAGTTCTCCACTCTTGAAGTGAAATGTAAAAGTAGCACAGTTTGGGGTTTTTTATGTAAACATTAAATAAATCAGTAAAAGGACATAAGATTATCGAAAATACTTTCTTTTCCAGGTGCCAGTTCCACAGATTCAGAGAGTGAAAGTTTAATTTTCAAATCAAAATCTGGAGCTATGCCACAGTAAGTGTGCAAAGTAGAACCAAAGCTGTGCAAATGTTCTTAATATGGGGCACTGGAAAATCTTTGGTAGTTTTAGATCTATATAAACATCTGGTGTACATTTGTGTATGTCTTGTCTTTTCTCCTTATCTCATGTTATATAAATGCATAGTATTTTAACTGTAAATTGTATTAATGTGCTTGCTCTGCCAGAGAAGTCTGGCGTTACCCTGACAATTCTTTTGTTGATATCAACTTTTCCCACACAGGAGTAACTTAAAGTTAATTAGGTCTTCATTTGTAATCACCCAATCCTGTGCCTCCAAAAAATCATTCAGAGACCTACGATTAAAGAAACAGAATACATTTTAATTTGTATCTTAAATGAGAAATTTTAATTTGGTGTGAAAGTGTAAATTAGCCAAAGATAGTGTTCTACTCAAGCTTCCCCAATGTTGATTTTTTTCAGCTGATAATGACGTACTTACCAATGTAGAAAATACAAGGTAGCTTATAAATTACAAACTAACATAGTCTGATTTCAGATCTTATAAATTGCTTGCTGTTTTCTCTTTTTTTCAGGGTCCAAAAGAAAACCACCTCTGTTTCCTTGACAATAGGATCTTCTACACCAAAGTCTGGAGTCACCACAGCTGTCATTCAACCTATCTCTGTGCCCAGTCAGCAGGTATTTTTAGACACCAATTTTTAAATTAATGGAAGTATTTATACTAAATTTTAATGCCACTGTGGATGACTTATAGAAATCATGGTAAATTCTTTTACCTTCCTTTGTCTCACCTTGATAAGCTCTTAAGTACCTGGATTTATTTATTACTAGAGCAGTAAAGGGATGTAATAACAGGAAAGGCAAAAATGTTTTAGTGCAAAGGACTGACTTGAATGATATCAACAGGAGTCAAACTCTCAAAATACTTCAAGGCAAATACAGTTGGATACAAAATTCTCATGGGAAGTACAGAAGCCTTTAAATCTTGTATTTTGATTTCAGAAATATAACAGATGTGAAATAGAGATGTCACTCAAGAAGCGTGCTAAAACGAGAGCACCATAATAAGACTCTGCATTTGAGAGTTTGCATTAATGCATAGATATATGCAGGCCATATTACTGAAACCAGTGTTCTTCCATTTTATAGCACTGTTGCATTGCTTTGCAGGCTCAAAGCCCTACTTCATACCTGCACCATGTGGATGGACCTAAGCCTATCTATTCTGCACTCATTTTTACAAAGGTATGTTTTATCCATCATGAATCTATATTACACTCCTATAGTCCAGAAAGAAATATCAAAATTATATATCCTAATGCAGGAATGTTTGATCGTAATAAAACTTTTACAGTTTTAATTGTCCTTTTTAGTATGAATGACTTCCTAGAAAATACTTTTCCCCTGCAACAATGAAGTTCTTATGCCTTCTACCCTGTTAAAATCACTAGTGGAATTACAAGAATATTCTGTATGTGTTTGTCTTATGCCCATGACTGTCTTCCATTGAAAAATCTTTGTAAAATAAAACAAGGTAGGCATCCATTACACATCATAGTCATGATAAAACCTCATTTACATAATTTATCTACTGATAAGAATAACACAAGCTTTTTTACATTTTTTTAGAAAAAAATCCATGCAAGTATGTTTGTTAAAGAAGCAGTTCATACATTCTTCGTTGAGATGTTTTGTAAAATGTAAGGCATAGACTTGCTAGAAGGAAAACTTTTATTCAGTAATTCTTAATTATTTAAGTCACTGTTTATCTTCGCATTCATTCCAAATGAAACTTCAGAACTGTCAATTAGGTAGCAGCAAAAAGGACAGCATGTTTCCCTAATCTCTAAAATACAACTTTAATCAAAAATGCTATTTTCATTTTGCCTTCAAACCATCATTTCCATAGCAGTACCAATTATTTAGTCAACATTCGTTGAAGCAGAAATGAAGAAAAGAAGATATTTCTGGTTATTGCTTCAGAAAAACAGCTGACTAAAAGCTAATATGGAACAGCAAGTACTTTTGCCTAGAGATAAGTAAGAGTAAGCCCTGTTCTCCACATGTGTACATGGCTCTATCATATCCCTTTCTCATGTCAGGAAAGGTCTAATTCTATCCCTCATAATTCTGCACTGATACTGCAGGTATCACAGGAGAGTGAATAGCGGAGGTGCAAAAGATTAGAGAATGTGGTTACTGAAAAGTAGGGAGGCAGGCAAGTTCCTAGTAAGAGTGGGAAATAGAAGATATCCAGCCCTCATTCAGAAACTACCAAAGTAATCAAAACTGCACTGCTGCTTTCCAACCCTCATATCTCTTGTCCCTAAAGTCCAATATTAACTGGCTTAAGCCAGTTGGGACATACCAAACCAAAACAACTTCAATTAGAGAGGAATAGATCCAAATATGAGCAGCAAAAAAAAAGTATTTATCCAGCTTCCTTCTTTCTACACAAACTTCAAGGAACAACCCAAAGATTTTTGCATTTCCACATAACAAAATTCTTATGTATTTGATGAACTAGAGATCTATGAAGAGTAACTAGAGACAACTCTGATCTTAGACCTAACTTCAAGTGCTTTGCTGCATCAAGGCCTAAAACTTTATTAATAAACTGAAAAGGGTATAAGACAGCCAGTACAGTTAAAAAGACTCTTTGATTTACAATCTTAAAATGGATAACAAAGGAAAAAATAGTGATTGTCTGCTGTCAATTACTTAAAGTACTGTGCTTCTCCTCTCCCATTGTAGTTCTTCATCAAAGATGGAGACTCTTCCTGAATTTTTTTCATATGTATATATGAATTTATTACAGTTATAATACTGTCTCAGAAGCTATCCATACACAAGCTAATGTATCCTAATCATAGTCACATAATCTAATTTTGCCTGGTTGATTATAAATGGCTCAGAGGAAAAGCAACTCCACATCCTAGAGGTTAACCTGAAAGTAGCACGGCTGCTCTCTCAGGACCAAGACAGTCAATGTGTAGCTAGTTGCAGCACTTTCATTTCACTTTGTGGAAGAAGGATGAAAAATGAAAGTCAGAGTGCAGCTATCTGCTTGTGATGGTCTGGGGACTTTAATACTTACACACCTTTTCCATCTTTGGCCATATTAAAAAAATTAATAATCTATGCAGTTATTTTAACTATATAGCTGATAAATTTAATCAGAGTGAAAACACAGCTCACAGAAAATGTCTGTTGCAAAAATGTAATGACACAATAAAATACAGTTGAAATACAAAGGGCAGAAAAGCCTGTTTTTTGGAATGTAAAATGTTCTTAGTTCATTTGAATTGTGATTGTTATATTTCAGGAGCTACAAAACTCCACAGCATCTGAGGGACAAGTCGTGGTATTGGAATGCAGGGTCAGAGGACTCCCTCCCATTCATGTTAAGTGGTTTCGTCAGGGCATTGAAATTCAAGATTCTCCAGACTTCAGAATTCTCCAAAAAAGTAAGGCAATAATCTGAAGTGGCTACTTTTGATATGGGGTGGTGAAAGATCCTTAAATTAGTCTGTCAGAATTGAGTTTTGGATAGCGTTCTCTCTTCCCCACATTTCAGTAATTATAATGGCTAGAAATAAAAATCAAATTACTGCTACCAACAGACAATTTAAGTCTTCCTTATTTTTGTGATGTGTCTGGACAGATTCAGTACTTGTTTACAGTATTTCACTATAATCTGCTCATTCAGTATACTGCTGTTTATTAATGTAATCTCTAATATAATTTTTCTTGTTTGTTTCCCCTCCTTATGATGTGATTTGCAGAGCCACGATCTGCAACTGAACCTGGTAAGAATCATATGAAAAAATAATCTCTTGATTCACTAGCTCTTTGAGTTTGTACTACAGCCATAAATAGAAAAGTGTTTCTGCTGAGCATTGGTAATATGATACCCCCATAAAGACAGCGTTTCTTTATCACACCTTCAATACTCTACATTGTCCTTTACATCAATTCCTTTATTAGTTAAACAGTAAATTTCATTTAGATGAGCCAGGAGAGTCTCACAGTTTAAACTCTGAAGCAAACGTCATTTTGAGAAAATGAGCAATTTGCGTGCTACTGAGGAAAAAGAACAAATCCCACAAAATTCCGTTACCCAAATTGTACTCATAAGAGTTTCATAACACCAACCACTTAAATGCAAGTAAAAGGTGATCCTCAAAAACTATGCCACATTGAACTTTTCTAGCCTATTTGCAAGGTCCTAGATTTCAGCAACCAAAAGGTTTTTTTCCGACTACAGGTTTTCTCTGACTGTTTGATTCTCCCATTACACCTCATTTCATTTTGTGGTAGTTTCTTGAATAGTAAGTAGATGCTAAAAGACTGAAAATGTTTGTTCTTTTTCCCTAAAGTTTCTAAGTCAAACAACATGTAGAAGAGAAGACAGTGATATTGTCTGAGCCTTGCTTTAAGAGGGTGGCTGGCTGTGCTTGAATGTGCTTGAATTTGGAGAGAGTTTTAATTATGGAGCAGAAAAATAAAACAAAAGTTTTCTAAGACCTGAGTATTCTCAAAGAGTGTCTCTGAACTGAAGGACCTTAGCAATGGGGGGATGTTTAAAGTTTTGAGGAGTTGCACTGGTGGTCTTTGACTGCAGAGAGAATAGACTTAGCAGCTGAGTGATGTTCATAAGGTAGCAGTGTAGCTATGAGCATATGGACTGGAAAAAGGCAGTGAAGGTTTAATCCTAGGAGAAATGCAGCCTTCTCTTAGCTTTCATGGGTAGGAGAAGAGGTGAAGAGGGGAGAAAGCTTCTGCTTTTTTGTCAATTACTCACTAGTTTTCTTACTGCTTCACAAAATTGTTATTATACCTGCTTTACTTCATGATCACCATACATGTGCATGTGCACGCACACATGCATGCTCTGTCCTGAGAGTTCATATTATTAATTACGGTATGTAGCATCATCACCTCTAGTAACAGCTAATGCCCACATGTGACTGAATGGTTTGATTTATGGGGACTTGAAATGTGAGCCATGTGAAGGGAAGAAGAATGCTGGAAAACCAAATTAACCTCTAATGAGGAATTAAAACATATGCCTATTGGTTGCCTACTGGCTATTGGTTGTTTAAAATCATAACCCAAACTTCAAGGTTTAAAAATTGTAAGTTACAGTACAAAACAGTTTGAGGGAAGTTTTAAGTCTTTGGATATGAAAAGAAATAAAGGAGAACAGATTTGTGTTGAAGAATGTTTAATTGTGTAACTTTCTAGGAACATTCACCTGAAATATATATTACAAAATAAGTCTTCCAACTGTTTTCTTGATACCTTTAAAAAAACCCCAAACAGATCAATTAGTTGACTTTATTCCTCTTCCCAGAGAAATTTCTTTTCTGTCCAAGTAGTAACATATTTTCTGGATTTAATCTACCAACACTATGAGAAGAGTACCTAGTATATTTAGCTCACTGTTACTAGGAGCTTCTTTTCTACAAAATCACTTCAACTGCATTCACTCTTTTAACATGATAGAAAGTATCTGAAAGGACTGAAACTCTACACAAAAGTTTCTATGAAGACTAAATTTACTAGCTTACCTTACCTTTTCTTTTTAATATCTAATTTGAAACTGTTCTGTCAAAACTCAGTCATTAATATTGTTGGCTTATATTCACACAACATAGTGTGCATAATGCTAGATGAACAAAGTATTTTAGAGTAGGAATGCAGTGTTTTCTAGTAGAAAGGAGAAGCACCTGTTTGCTTGAGACAAAAGGTTCAAATTCCATTTTGTGAATAGTTGAGTACAAAGGAACTTGTATATTGTGCCTCTTGGTAGAAGATTTATGTTCATGGACAGCTAAGTAATTCTCAGTATTGTTAGCTGCAAGTTTCATATAGCCTGACAGATACTACTGTGGAATAAGTAAGGATATTCATTATAGTTCACAAAGCTACCACAACTTTCATAACTACTACCTGAAATGGGAAATAGAAGGTGGGATTCTGAGTCCAAAAGATCATCACTTTGCCAGCCCTCTGACATTCCTGCACCATCATGCTCATGGTGCTGAATGCTCTCCTTCCCATGTTTGGTTAGCTTGCAGACCCTGGGAGAAGATACGTGAAGCCTTCTAAAGAGTGCTAGGGAATGGATCCTTACAGGAAAGGTGCATTTCTGGAGTTTTCACAGGTACAGAAAAGTTATTTAATATCAAGGTATCTCTTACTTCTCTCAAGGCAGGTGGCAAGGCAAGAATAGGAAAGCAACTCAAAATGCTATTTTGGTATCTGTATAGTTGTGGTTTAATAGACATAGCAGTGAATGCCTGACCACAGTCTGTCTTTTTTTTTTTAATCATCCTTGTAATTCTGTTGCAATATTTATAAGCACCTTCCTGCTACCTATCAAAGAGTTTCAGTTTGGTATTTTGTTCTCCCTGTATTCACTGAGCTAGCTACTAGCCCTGTAAGATTTGTGCATGTGTCAGTTCCTACTAAGCTCTATTAAATAATATGCAGTGTCTTACTCACCACTAAAATTAATGACAACACACTTATGGGCTTATTTGTGTAGGAATTGACTTTGTGCATGCAAAGGGAATGTAAATAAAGTTTGGGCAAAATGTAAATATTTCCTTTTGGCACAAATATATAGCAGTATTTTATGTATTACTAATAATACTGGTAATAAGTAACACTGGTTTTAGGATGTCATGAAGGATCTTAAAATTTCTTCAGTAGGAAGCTGGGTGGGTAGCAGGGATGTAAGGGGTACAGCATTGGTTTGTGATGCAATTCATACTCTAAGAAGCCAGACAAAACCATACCTGCAGAGGAAATTGTTGCTAAGCAAACATACAAGTGCTATTCAGTGCAGATGGTGAATAGATGTGCAAGATTGATGGGGAAAACAACATGCCTATGCTAGATAAGTATTCAGATTTTTGTAAGACGGACATGATTTCTAAAAATTTTTGCAAGTGTACAACCTCCATGGAATTTTATATAAATTGTAACTAGTTGTAGTGCAGCTTTAATTGCTGGTTGTTAACCAAGTCCAACTGCCAATAAATACTTTATAGTGATCAAAAACATCAGTTATCCTTTGCTAGGTCAGTACTAATGATTTAAAACAAAATATGCTCTGAACTCACACAAGCAAGAAATTAAGGAGCATGGAGATTTTTTTTGGCTACCTTTTTTGGGTACATTCTATCTGCCCTAATGTGTTTTGCACTCCTTATTCTGTCTAGACAGCAATCAGTTTGCATCACAAATCTCTCCAGACTGCTTCGTGAATTAATAGCTAGTCAGATTACTTAAAGCCAACATCACAGTTTGTCAAATTACCTGCTCTGTACTTCTTTCTTGGATGTTTTGACTTTATACTGATTGAATCCTTCAAAGGCTGCCTGAGAATGAATAATCCCATGGAATCATTTGCCAGCTGTTGATATTTTGACCATTACTCAGCTGTCTGGAGGCAGCCACAAACTGGATTGAATTACATTAAAACAATTGTCTAATGGCATGTAAGAAGAAAACGGTATGAAGTAATTTTTCTGAAATTGCCAAGAAATTGCCACATATACATGCTTTTTTTTCCTAAGCACAATACTGTATATGTTCAAGAAAAACATCTCAAAAGGTAGTCATCACTTCTCTTGGATTATGTTGTCTTGTTCCCTGTTTAGTTGCTGTGTTCCAGAGTTTCAACTCTAGTAAGTATCTCCCTTAGAAATGCCCTCCTATATCTGGATAATGTTTGAAACTAAAACAACATGGCAAATGTTACAGAAATCCTTACTGTCTCCCACACCAAGAAAATCAGCTTTCTGTTAGCTGATGAAATTCAAAACACAGAAACTTCAGTAGGTCAGCATGCATGTTGGATCCTTGCAATTTTTAGTGAAAACAAAAGAATTATGACTAAGAGTCTGGCTCCCTGTTTCACCGCTGAGCAGCAAAGAAGGGCTTGAAAAGAGCAGTCTCCAGTGAGTTATAGCTCAAGATGCCAAATGAAGAGAAAAACTAAGTTAAAATTATCCTTCATTAAGCGTGGTCTGACCAACCTATGAGCAATTACAATTTCAACTGTACTCTGTGCTCCCTGGATACCTACGGATACCTACAGAATTCTGGTCCTGTCAGTGACTCTGTCTTAAGTGTGACTGCTATTACTGTCCCTGCTTGTTGACACTTCCAGATTCAAAGTGAACCTCTGATCTTTTTTGTACTATGTGATTTTTTAAAAAATGCTGTTATTCTTCTTCAATTGCAAATATTTAAAGCTTATTGGGGTACATTAATCATCATAGTTATGTTGCTGAATACATTGATTTCAGCTTTGATGTATACAGCCAACTTAACATCAAACTAGCTGTCTTAGACAACCACAGCATTATAACTGCCCTGCTGTAAGCTTTAGCATAAACTTTTCCTTGAACCTGATAAATGGCCTAATTTCTTCTCAAACCTGAATGCTGCTTCAGGGACTAAAGTCCA